GAGCCCCCTGTGGCCTGGCTGCAGAGGGGGAGGGGGATGAATTCAACATTCTCCCCTGATAATTCAATTCTATTTATGGAAGAGAAATACCCACCCATCCAGAACAACTCTGTGCACAAGCCTGGCCAAAGCCTGCCCCACTAGCATCACCAGCTGTATGGTAATTATTGTATTTGCCTCAATTTCAACCCCTGCAGAATCAATAATAGTAAAAGTGCTCAAAACGTATGATCACTTTTGAGGCAACTCATTCGCACAGCATATGCAAACCTAAAATCACTCTCAGGGAGCCTCAACTGCCTTTCGGGCACTTTCTTACCACTCCTTGCCTCAAAATAAAGAAACGCTTCCACTTGGATGACCGAGGTCTCGCTCAGGAGCGACTCCCAGGGAGCAATATCGAGTAAATGAGACGACCACCTCTTTGTATATTGACTTGCATATTACCCAGTGTACGATTTTTTTTCAGCAAATACAGTAATTCTGACTTTCCAATACGATAATTTAATATTTACGACCTGACAAACGCTGCCCCCACCCTGCCCCCCGGAAGCGAGGGGACCCCGGAGCCACGCAGCCCCTCCCCGCCGGCAGGCGGCGGTTGGCTCCGCCCGCGGCCGTTACCGTTCTGGTTGCGGACGGTATCGCCGGAGCTGCGCTCGCCCAGCACGGCCAGGGGCCCCTCCAGCGCCGCCATGGTCCCGCCCGCCCGCACCACGCCGGCCACCAAGAGATGGGCGCGGGGCACGCCGGGAACTGTGGAAGGGGAGAGAGGAGAAAGCAGCCAATGGCTGCCTGGGGGGGCAAAACGTCACGCGGCTGTTGCCCCAATCCGGGAGCTCCTTACAACGCTCGGAAAGCGCTGCTTCGACGGCGGGCGCTGATTGGGTGTTGAAGCCGGCGGGGAGACGCGAGTGCGGGCGTCACGGGAATTCGAAGGACATGGGCGGGACTCAGGTGGAGCGCAGCGCTGGGCTTCCAGGACGTTCTAGAAGGAGGCAGCCGATTGGCCCCGCCCCGTGGTGCGAGAGCGAGGCTGCCCGGAAGGTTCCCTCGCTACTGGGGCGGAAGTTGACATAGTTTCTGCTTCTGGGGTAGCGGGTCATTCCTCTTGCTGAGCTTCTAGGCTCAGCGAAGAAGGTAGCTCGGCGTGGGCGGCAGCATTTTGCCGCCGCCACCATGGCGCTGCGGAGCTGTGTCCGGCCGCTGTTGTTGAGTGTCGGTGCTGCCGCCAGGCTCCGTGGGGCCAGAGAAGGTGCTGGGGTGGGGCTTCCGCGTAGGGGGCTCCATTGGGCAGGGGACTAATTTTGCGATCGCCTGAGTTCTGTTAAGACTTTGCTCACGCCACGCAGAGTCGCTGACATCTCACAGGCAAGGCCATTGGCTGTGGTAGATCCAGTATTTCTAACTTGTTTTTCCTTGTCTGTTCTTTCCACTTTCCCCCAAGGTCTTCGTTTCACATCTGCTAAAGCCAGCTTCGAAGTTGCCAGCACGGAGGTAGACACGAGGGAAAACGAGGTTGTTGCCCCGAATTTCACCAACCGGAACCCTCGGAACCTGGAGCAGTTGGCACTCGCCAGGAAGGAGCGTGGCTGGGAAACAAGCTGGCCCAGTAGAGAGTTTTGGCGTAGGTGAGTTGTGGACTCGCTTAGCAATAACTGAGTTTAAGAATGGGAGCATTTTTTAAATCAGAGATCCGGTGGTTCTCAGGAAGTGCTTGTAGTAAAACTGTTGGACCAGAGGCCCCCTCAAACTTAGGCTTTGTGTATGCATGTAATTAGGGTCAACATAGCCTAGGCCGGTGATTCCTAACTTGGGTGCCTTGAGATCCTTTCAAGTGTGCTGCAGGGTGCCAAGCCATGTTAGCAGTGCTAGGTGTGTGGATATGATTTGCAAGACTGAAACAGATTTCGGATAAAAAGCCCTAAGGTTAAAAAAACCATTCTGCCTCATTGTGGTCTTTCTGAGTTCCTTGCCACAGAAAAACTATTCTGTTTTGTTTTTGTAATTAAAAAAACAAGAGAACTCAGAACTGGTATTTTCCAAGGGGTGCCTTGAGCCTAATGATGAGCAGGTTGAGAATCGCTGTCCTAAGCTCCGTGGCCACCCTTGAGCCTAAAGATGAGCAGGTTGAGAATCACTGTCCTAAGCTCCGTGGCCACCCTTGAGCCTAATGATGAGCGGGTTGAGAATTGCTGTCCTAAGCTCCATTGCCACCCTTGAGCCTAATGATGAGTGGGTTGAGAATCACCATCCTAAGTTTCATGGCCAGCCGTAGTCCACCCAGCCCCGAACATTCTGCTGAACTTCAGGATATGAGGAAAGGCGTGCCTTGCAGCCTACCTCTCCCTGCAATATGTTTGGAGGTTGCCCAGATGCTGTAGGCCAGAAGCACAGGAGTCCCTCCAGTGTCTGTTTTCCAGCTGCTTCTTCCTAACTTTCAGCCTTTCTGTCCTCAACTCTTGTCTATAATTAGAGACAGGCTGTGCAGGAGAAACAAGTACCATATTTTCTTGCACATAGCATGCCTCAAAATAAGATATGCACCTTGTTGAAAGGCAGAAGGAAGGAAAAACAGCTTTCCTTGAAATATTAAGTTACCAAGTAGCACAGGGGCAGGCAGTTATTTTGGGCAGAAGGCCTCTTACTGAGTTTCAGTAAGCCATCGAGGGCTGCATGACAGGCAGCCCAGGGCAGATTAATATTAATTTTCTAAATTTTTTAGGGGCTCCACGGGTCAGATTTAATGGTCTGGTGGGCTGTGTTTTGCCCACCCCTGGAGTAGCAGCTTCTGCAGCATGAGTCTCAGCTAGGGAGAGAGTGTCCACAGCTAGCAGCTATGGAGCTCCACTGTGCTGTCTGATATGCAGTGTTACTTTCACTTTTCTCAAGTAGAGGCATTATTTCCCTGCTTATGACAGACTCTAATTCCCAGCAGCTGAATCTTGGAAAAAGGGTGCATGTTACATGCAAGAAAAATATGGTAATTTGCAGACTGATATCTAGAAGGGGATCTGCTGAAGGACATGAAACATACTTTGGATGGCTTTGGTGTAGGCTGCAAGGTAAGATACAGATGAGGAAGGGTGGCACATGTCGCTCAGGTTGGTTGAGACAGACCCTAAGTGTCCATGTAGGCAGGCCTCTAATCATACATTCCATGACTTTTCCTCTTTCAGATATGCAGAGGCATAGTCGTGTTAAAGATGCTATGGGGTACTTTCCATCTGCTTTAGGGTTACTAACAGGCAACTTGCATAGCAAGAGATGTGAATTTTCTTGTGTCTGTGATTGCCTTGTATCAATGCCTAGCTTGAGACACCTGGTTCGTGTCTGAAGATGCAGAACATCTGTGCAGAGCAGATTTTTCTTTAGGGTGTTTAGTGATGAATTACCCAATCTGGTCATTCCTGGTAAGATGGACTATACTGCTTTACTAGACCAGTTAATACAAATAAGAAAAAAAGCTTGAATCCTTATTTGAACATAAGCATAATAGAAAGCTATGAATGAGGCTTACATTTTAAAAGAAGTTTTTTAGTTTTGGAATAACTACAAATTTTGTACTAACTCAAAATATTATGCATGCTATAAAGTTTAGTCTGTGCAGGTCTGAATACATGGGCAGAGAAGGTTGACACTTTATTTTTTAGGCTGATTCATAAAAGATGATGTAGAGGAAAACTTGAAGATTCTTACATAAAGGATAATCCAGCATCTTTAAAAATATTTCATAGATTTATAGATGAAGGTCTACTTAGGTCCCTTCTGACCCTACAAGTCCGCCCCCCTGCCTTGGGCAGGAGCAAATAGTGGGCTCGTATGACCCCAGCTAGGTAATTACCAAGCTTCCTCTTAAAGATCCCCAAAGTAGGAACCAGCACCACTTCCCTAGGTTCCAGACCCTAGCCACCCTGACTGTGAAGTAGTGCCTTCTAATGTCCAGCCTGAACCTAGTCTCCAACAGCTTATGGCTGTTATTCCTTGCAAATCCGGGAAGCGCTCGGGGGAACAAGGTCTGTCTCACTTCCCTGCTGGTTCCCCCTGGTAAGTTTATAGACAGCTACCAGGTCCCCTCTCAGCCTTCTCTTGTAAAGGCTGAACAGGTTCAGGTCCCATAGCATCCTTGTAAGGTCTGCCCTGCTATCCCTGGATCATGTAAGTGGACCCTCTTGATGCTGGCCACATCCCTCCCATAGTGCGACGCCTAGAACTAGAGGTAGTACTCCAACTGTGGCCTAACCAGTGTTGCATAGAGGGGGAGGATCACCTTGGTCCTGCTTGTGATGCATCTGTGGATGCATGACAAGGTGCAGCTGGCCTTACTTGACCACGTCCTCACATTGACGGCCCATGTTCATTTTGGAATTGATAATGATTCCAAGATCTCTTTCTGCCACTGTGCTGACAAGAAGGGTATTCCCCAGCCTATAGGTATGCTGCTGGTTCTTTCTCCCTAGATGCAGTACCCTGCACTTGCCAATATTGAATCCCATCCTCATTCGCCCACCCATGTAACTTGTCCAGGTCCAGCTGTATCCTGTCTCTCGCTTCTAGCATGCCCATCTCACCCCAGATCTTGATGTCATCAGTGAATTTGAACAGGGTGCTTTTCACCCCCTTGGCCAGGTCACTAATAAAGAAATTGAACAGTGCAGGCCCAAGGATGGAGTCCTGGGGGACTCCACTGCCTACATCCCTCCAGGTTGAATATGACCTGTCCACTACCACTCTCTGGGTGCAGCCCCTTAGCCAATTTGTGACCCATCTGACTGTGTAGGCATCAGTGCCACAGTCGCCTAGCTTTTTAATGAGAATGGGGTGGGAGACAGTGTCAAAGGCCTTTCTGAAGTCCAGAAAGACTACGTCCACCGCGACACCTGCATCCAGTGATTCTGTGACCTGGTCATAGAAGGCAATCAGGTTGGTCTGACAGGACCTGCCCCTAATGAACCCATGCTGGTTGTCCTTGAGCATCATCCCTGCTGCTGGCCCATCACAGATGTGCTCCTTGATATTCTTCTCAAAGAGCTTCCCCAGGATTGAAGCAAGACTAACGGGCCTACAGTTGCCCAGGTCCTCCCTCTTCCCTTTTTTAAAGATGAGGACCACATTGGCCTTCTTCCAGTCATCCGGCACCTGGCCATAGCACTATGAGTGCTCGTAAAGCCGTGCCAGGGGTCCCGCAATAACCCCTGCCAATTCCCTCAACACCCTGGGGTGGAGAGCATCTGGACCTGCTGGATTTGAACACGTCCAGCCCCTCCAGAAGTTCCCAGACTCTAGGCCTGGCGGAGTCTCTCCTGAATCCATCTTGAATCTTGGTGGGGGAGTCCCAGTCTCTGCATAAAAAAATGGAGGCAAAGAAATTGTTAAAAAGGTCTGCCTTTTCCTCTGGTGCAACCACCAGATTGCCTAGCATATCCTGCAGGGGCTCCACACTACCCGGTGCCTTCTTCATACTCCTTATGTATTTAAAAAAGGACTTTTTGTTGTCCTTGATCCTTGATGCTAGCCTTAGTTCCATGTCTGCCTTAGCTTTCCTAACAGCCCCCCTACAGTCCCGAGTGATGGAGATATACTCCTCTTTGGTGATAGCTCCTCCCTTCCACTGGGTGTACACCTCCTTTTTTGGCTTTCAGGTGTTCCTGAATGCCTTTGGTGAGGCAGGGGGGCTTTTGAGCACTCTTGCCCCCTTTGATTCTTGTTGGGACTGTCACCCCTTGGGCTTGGAGGATCGTCTCCTTAAGGAACGACCATTCATCTTAGATATCCAGTGCCTTTCTTATCAATCTCTTCAACTCATTGAAGTTGGCCCTCTTGAAGTCAAGGGCTACTGTCTTGCTGCACGCCCTTGACACCTTGCGCTCGATGGTGAATTCCAGTTGGTGATGATTACAGATTACAAAGCAGGGGGTTCTAGTCACCTCTCAAGACTCCTCACTGTCTATGCTGAACAGCCAATCAAAAAAACCTGCAAATATATATTGAAATGCAAATTTAAATACATTTTGTGGAGGTGTGACCACTTGTTAACCACCTGGCCCTTGGCTTCACACTATCACTGCCCCAGGATCCCGGGGTCTCTCTGGAGACTGGCCAGGACCCAAATGGGCAGGGTGCGCAGCCGAGTGGATGGGATGGGGCTGTGGGTG